CACAAGCCGGATGCCTCATGCGCAGGCCACGCCCACTCCAGTCTTGCAAGGGGGGGAACGTTGCAAAATGTCACGTGACGGCAACGTGATGCGGCGGGTTTGACACTTGCACATGAGACGGATTCATCATTGGCTGGATGTCCAAACCGAGAGTATTCATCATATGAAATTGGAGAACCGGTATTTGGGTGGAAGGTCAGAGAGCTTTGTTTTTTTTATTAGTAATCTCGATGAAGGGGTTGAGTAGATGATTATCTGGTCTGAGGATGATTAAGATGTCATTGCTGACTTACAACCATAACTGGGACCAGAATTTCCATGTAACGCTGCAGTCATAAATCGAGACTGAACTTTTATTCCATTTTTATAGTAGTCGTTAAATGAATGCTGCTTCCCAAATAGGCTTTTTTTTGGGGGGGGGGCTAGAAATAGACAAAAAAGATTGCAAGCCTATTCATGTGACCCGACAATACTGCAATTGGTCATAAATGTGAGACGACTGCCATGCACCTGAATTGCAACCATATTTGTATGTGGGTGTGGGTGTGTGTGAGAGAGATGATGGTTAAGTGTTAGTACAGGTGGTAAGTTCCTTTTTTCGAGGTCCCTGTAACTTTGAACCTTTGAATTTAAACTATCATAAGTCGAGGACTACCTGTAAAACACGAAGGATGGATAAACATCTTAGAAGAGATAAAAGAAGTCTGAAAAGCTCTTGGCAACTGTCTCACATTTATGACTGACTGCAACGTCCTGCAGATCATGTTTGCAACCTGAACTCTGGGGCCTGAAAAGAAGGATGAGGTTTAACAGGAACGAATGTAAGTTCTGTATTTGGGTAAGAAAAATAAAAGGAACAACTACAGAAGGGAAAATGTGGCTTGGCAGGAATGTTAGTAAAAAAGATCTAGTGTTCTACTACACCACTGGTTGAAATTGTGGAGAATGGTTACGGGGTCCAGTTCTCTGCTGGGCAACCTGCAGAGCAACTGGAAGAAAATCACCCAAAAACTTGGCAACTTAAAAAAAAAATCAAGAAACTATAAAATTCAAATCCATCAGCTTAGGGTTTCCAGAAAAAAAAAAGTAAGAGGTTTATCAAATAAATTGTCTGGAATAAAATATTACTGAACAACTTGTGGGTTAGAGAAATTCCATGCTCAGAAAAAGACTTTTATAGACACCAGAGTTAATACAGGTAGTCCTCAACTTACAACAGTTCATTAGCGACTGTTCAAACTTACAATGACACTGAAAAAAATGACTTATGACTGTTTTTCACAGTTACAATCTTTGCAGCATCCTCATAACCATATGATCAAAATTCAGATGCAACCTTCTCACCAGCAAAGTTAATGGGCAAGCCAGATTCACTTAAGTGTTACTAACTTAATAACTGCAGTGATCCACTTAACAACTGAAGCAAGAAAGGTCGTAAAATAGGGCAAAATTCACTTAACAAATACCTCACTTAACAACAGAAATGTTGCGCTCAATTGCTGTGGTAAGTCTACCTGCACATTGGAAAATCAATTAAAACATTTAAAAAGTTTTGAAACTGAAAAAAAAAAGGAAGCAGCCAGTGAAAATTCTGAGTCGTCAATTCGTAATTATAAAAGAGAACCGCAGCTGTCTGGATATTAAAAGCTACTTTAGAGGAAAAAAGTTTTGGAATGCATGAAAGAAACGGCAAGAAAAAAGATTATCTCCTTTGATAGCTATTCAAAAGAAACATTTTTAAAAAGTTTTGTACAGTGCAAATAGGACTGTCCACTCAATTATGACATAAATGATCAAAGCGATGAATCAGCTCTTGAACTGCCTTGCAAAAATAATAGCAACAGAACTAGGTTATAAATTAAAAGCAACCCACCAAACGAGAAATCAGAAGCCAACCTAGAAAATTAAATTGGAAAATGAAATAAATCAATTTCACAAAGATATTCACAATGTATAAAACTTAGAGCAACAAAAATGGGAAAAATGAGAAAATAAAGGCCAATGGGAAAAAGCATGCCAATCCCGACAGCAAAATAACTGCAGAAGTCATGGAAGAATTAAAATAAAGAATACCGGCCACTTCTAACAAAATGGAACAATATGAAAGTAGAGCTAAACAATTCCAAAAACAATAGGTACATTCAAACAAAGGAACACTTGTTCTTCCAGAAATCTTAATTGAAAACATACAATCAACTGGACTTCCCAAAAATAAGGAAGAAATATTGGAATTTTAGGGAGAAAAAATGGGATAACCTTCCAAAAAACAGAATTATACGACCACATGGATATATACAGAAAGACAAATAAAAATAGGAGGAAACAGTAAACATAACCTCAACAGCAGAAAGGGTAAAAAGACAAAATCAGAAGAAGAAGAATTTGAGTACCATAGGAAAAAATAAACTTCATGGATTTTAGCTCACATATCTATTCATTTGACAGTCCTGTCTTACAAATCCTTTTGATTAAGTGTTGCAACAAAGGTTAAGAAGAGATGGTTGGCTCAATACAAGCTGACATTTTTGATCATGAAAAACAAAACAAAATACACAAAAAAAGCAAAGAGCTTTTGGGTTGAATAGCTGTGGTCTCGTTTTCTTTTGTTCTGACGTTTTGCCAGCAGCTGTGGCTGGCATCTTCGGAGGCAGAGTAGGCTGCTTTGTGGTGTATCTCTTAACAGATGACAGACAACTGAAATGGGATGAACAGGCTTTGGAATCTAAACCGGATAAGATGCCCATAAGAAAGGCTGAGCACCAAAGAATGGAGGCCCTTGAACTCTGGTGCTGGGGAAGATTCCTGTGAGTCCCTTGGACTGCAAGGAGATCAAACCGGTCAGTCCTAGAAGAGATCAACCCTGACTGCTCTGCCTAGAAGGCCAG